TGCTCCACCGAGGTGGACGAGGCTCTCTAGGTGTGTTTGGTGTTTACTGATTTCATATGCTAAAGTGCTTTAGTGGCCGTATATGTACAATGTTTTGCCTGCACCGCGTCAGCACGTAAGCCGCACATTCTACCTCAGCATAAGTAGTACTCCACCAATCTTTTCACTGGCTGTGTCTGTAACGCACACTATGTGCGCCATCTCGATTTGGTATATATTGAACAGCGATCACGCACCTCTTTGCAGTATCTTTCTCATGGGCCTTCACAAGTGCCGTGATTCTTATTTTTCTTCGTGCACTGGTTGCATACTGGGAGGAGTGTTTACCGCTGTAGTTCAATATAAAATAGAGAGTTGTCTAAGTGCAGATTCTCCTGATCTCTCGAGCCTTCCTCGGTACGCAAGTCGACGTAGCGTGGCTCTGACAGGTTCATTCAGTTTGAGTAACTTGACTTGGCTAATTCAGTAAGCTTCAGCTTGACTCCTCGCAGCTGTTGCAAATATTTAGATCAATACCAGAAGGTCCTGCACCCGCTTGTGCACTTGAAGGATGAGGATGTTTGGCTGTTATTTTTCGGTATCCTTCACTGCTGAATATGAAATGGCAAAATACACGAGAATGATTCAGCTGGTGGATGGGGCTTCTATTTGTTTAGCGCCCGTCTTCACTGAGCCCATGTTGTTTGCTCGCCTATTGTTTCTATTGGGTAAATATTCGGCAACGGCACCACCAGCTCTTCCCTACACCTGCAGCAAAAGAGCACGCATGTGTTCAGGGAAAATGACCTAAAGGGGGATGCGTACGCCCCGAAGGAATTTGACGGCTTTGGCAGCTTGTTGACGTTGAACCTGCGAATAGCGCGGGAATCGGTGCCACAAGTCACGTGGGCGTCAAGTACGCATGCAGTATCCCGCTCAATGAATTGAGTCGGCTGCAACACCGGGCACCCTCGTCGTCTACCGAAGCAGCAAAACCATCTCCACTCCTCTCCCAACCGCATTAGCCACCGAGCAAATGTCGCCCTTCAACAGAGCGTGCATGCCTTCAAGCACCTCGAATTCGAGACATGAAGACATCCAAGCCGTTGGAGATGTAATTCCAAGCGACTAGGTGGCCACGATCCTCTATGATCTGTCGGCAAAAAGTCCAACTTTCTGGCTACGTCGAGAGACGCGATCACCGCCTTCCTCTCGGGATTCCCTGCCACCCGACGCATTCGGGTAAACTTCCAACGCAACCTGGTTACAGTTAACGCCCACCCCATCACCGATCTAACCGCCCTGCTCCAAGTTGGGATGATCTGCGAGGTGAAGGTCCGGTCTAAGCTGCTAGCATGTGTCGGCACGATCTTCATAGTCGATCCATTCAATCCTTTCGAGGACCTAGCCGCTAACACTGTCTCATCAGTGCCACTTGTTGCCGGTGTGCGCAGAGCCAACTGCCTTACCCTCACCTTTGCGGGGACCCCCGTAACCCCGACATCCTTCTGTATAAGCAAATGCTTCCTGTCTGTCCACACCAGCCCAGGCCCCTACAGTGTTCCCGATGCGGCCGCTTCGGGCATGCAACAGCCACCTGCTCGCCGGACGAACGGTGCCCGCACTGCGGCGTAAAGCACGCCTCAGGAACCTGTGCAGTGGAACGACCACACTGCGTTAACTGCAGCGATAAGCTATCCGCCACAGAGCCACGCCACCCTTTCTGGCAGCTCCGGCACCAAGCCGCGGTCATCATGGCCTCATCTGACGGCACCGTGGCCCGCCACCAGGCTATGGAACAAGCCCTTATGAACAAGCGTGGCAGTACGGTGATTGTGAAGGGCGTTTCGTTCTGGTACGCCCTTATGGGTAGTAAACAGACTTACGTGGCAGCCGCACTTTCACTTCCGCTGTGCCCACCAGCTCCGACCGAGACCGCTGCCGATGACGTGACAGCCCTGCGTCTGCCTCCTGTGTGCGCGCCACCTCAGCTTGGTAACCAAAAGTACTGGGTGTTGGCTGAGCTGGCAGTGGCCCTACGTGATCTCCTGAGGTCCATTTCACATGATTTTTGATTTCACAGATTATGCGCTCCAGCCCACCTCTGCTACGACGCCATCGCACCTTCAAAGTAGCTCTCCGGGGTGGCGCTACTAGCGGAGTCATCTGCATTTACTACGTAAGTTCCGAAGGTGTCTTTCTTCATCTTGCCCGCGTTAAACCCTGCGCATCCCTGTTCCCCCGGCTTTCTTGGCAAGTTTCCCGGTTGACTTCATGTGCGTGCGGGTGTTCGTGTGCTCGTGTGGGAGACAGATCGAATGCTTTTTTTCATACTCCTCTCAACTCTGATTCTCTTCTATAATTTTCACTGACATTTCCCCATCTCCCGCGTGGTGTTATTCAGGGTACCTTCAATAGAATAAAGCTGTTACGACGCCGTGCTTACTTTTGCTTCCTTTTTTTTAGCATCTCTGTAGGCGAGACCTTCATCGGCACCCCATCCATTCCACTACGTGTACCACGAGCTGGCATGGTCCGTATGCAACTTTTTAGCGTGAGTTTTTTTAACCTTTATTTCGTTATACACAGTATTCGAAATGCTGCTCTAGAGCAGCGCTTCGAGATAGGTAATATTGCACTTCAAGTTGTAAAAGACTATGTCTACTTAGGGCAGGTACTATCCGCAGAGCCGAACCACGAGATTGAAGTAATTAGAAGAATAAGAATGGGGTGGAGCACATTCGGCAAGCACTCTCATATTATGACAGGTAGATTGCTACTATCCCTCAAGAGGAAGATATATAACAGCTGTATCTTGCCGGTACTTAGCTACGGAGCAGAAACCTGGAGACTTACAAAGAGGGTTCAGCTTAAATTGAGGACGACGCAGCGAGCAATGGAAAGAAAAATGGTAGGTGTAACCTTAAAAGACAAAAAGAGAGCAGAGTGGATTAGGGAACAGGGATTAAGGATATCATAGCTGAAATCAAGAAGAAGAAATGGGCATGGGCCGGGCATGTAGCGCGTAGACAGGATAACCGCTGGTCGTTAAGGGTAACTAACTGGATTCCCAGGGAAGGGAAGCGGGTTAGGGGGAGACAGAAGGTTAGGTGGGCAGATGAGATTAAGAAGTTTGCGGGTATAAATTGGCAGCAGCAAGCACAAGACCGTGTTGACTGGCGGAACATGAGAGAGGCCTTTGTTCTGCAGTGGACGTAGTCAGGTTGATGATGATGATGATTATTATAATGATACCCAGTATTCTATAATTATTTTGTGTGCTGCGTCGAACGTAGAAACCCAAGAGCGAGAGCACAATCTTATTGTAATTCTTTTTTGTGTCTTCTTTTATTTTCCATCATGTCGTTATTTTGTTACATTCCACCCTATATTGACGTGTATCTGTTGCAGTGTTCTTTAAGAGCATTGTTGGTTTTGTAGCTCTTCATTTCAATATTTTCTTCGCGCGTATTTGTGTTTTCCTTCTTTGTTGATTCTTGTTAAGTGCAGTCATTGCCCTTGTTTCAAATGAATGCTTTGCTTCTTTTTTTACTGTCCGCGTCTGCTCTATGAGTCCGTCGATCAGACCCAGACATCTGCACGCGTGCAAACCCCGCGTGTGTCGACCGTCCTACACAAAATTTGAAATATCCTACTTCGAAACCTTTTAGGCGTGGCAGGCTGAAGCTTAAAGTGGAGGCGTGCGAGTCGGCCGCACGCCGCTGTTAGATCGGTGGGGCCACACTGGAAGTGTTTTACAGCAATTCGTAATGCCGCAAGATCATCTTAAGTCACACGTGATATTATTCGGTAAATTTATGTGCTCAAAATTATTCGCATGATTCTAAGCGATTGCCATGAAAGTTTTATCTGTAGTAACTTTTGCAAGGAGCATGTGACTTGCCAAAAGGTTATTCGATTGGCCACGTGGGCCATTATCGAGTCACTCAAACACTAATCGAAAGCGTCCGAACTTGTATGCAGCACTAAAGTGAATTTGAAGAATGAGAAACGCTGTAGCACATGTATGTATCCGAATATTGATCCTGCGACAAGGCTGCATCTGCTCACTGTAGTGACTTTATATGCTTCGTTACTTTTGTAATTACGAAATACTCTGTGGGATTTAAAGGCGCAGTTGCAGAGGGGAAGGCAGATAATACACTCAGTAACACTTTTCCAATTTTGTAACAATGTTTGTTAGCCCTTGTGTGCCGCCTTCTTTGTCTCTCGCCCCTGAAGTTTGCGCTATATACTTAACAGGTCAATAGAGTAGCAACTAGCCCAAACAAGCACCTTGTTAAGCAGCAACGTCGCACATTTCCTACGCTGTTTTTGTGGAACACTTGTGGTTTCTTTGTTTGAAATGCACAATCAGGTTGCTTTTAGAAAAATTTTGGCTCCTCTGTATCTCTAGAACCTTCCAAAGTTCACATGAGTTTAAATTTTACGCGGTTGTGTTTCTAAGTAATATCATTGTTTTAAAATTGTTTCTGCCACCTTTTTCATAATGAATGTAAATTGAAAAGACGATAGTACATATATTGTGCTTTTGCGATCGCTTTGTGATTGATGGCGACGTTCTTTGCACTGCGCAAAACAAACTAGGTGACCGAGTGTTTGGAAGAGAAGATCCTCGATCGGCCGTGGCCCTACGCGTCAAAGGTTTGAAAAGTGACGCGTCCTTTAGTACTGTTTTCAACATCGACCGGGTTACGCGATTTCTAGCTGGCGTATAATAGTCAGGCGCACATGCACTTCGTTAGTACTGTTCTCCCTCTTTCTTTCTGTTGATTCCTTTGTGAAATCCTTCTCAGCGCAGGTAGCAAGCCGGACGCGTACTCTTCCTTCCCGCGTCTGCACCAAACCAACCTTGTGTTTTGTGATAAGGATATGCTACCTCCCTTCAGTTTAATTTCCGAAATGAGACTAGCTTTTGTTTTTGTGTAATTCAATTTGTATAGTTCGTTATAATTTGTTATGTGAATGCAAATTATTTGCGATACCCGTGTGGCACGTACCCTTTCGTGGGGCGCTACGAAGATGTTGTTGACGAAAAGGACGTTCAGCCACCAGTTGTCGTGACAGTTCTGAGCCACACTCTCCATGGTCTCTTTCCACATGGGACCGGATCCGATGACGGGAAGAAGAATGGCGACCATGGTTGCCAGAAGCATCGCCACCACAGCCCTGCAAAAGAAAATGTTTCGCATAGGTTGGGATCGCCGGTGCTTTAGCCGGATTGTGTTGGAGCAGAGAAACACTGTCAGATTAATGTTTTCATCAAGGTGATTTCTGTAGGGTAAACAGCTTGACATCATGCATCGTTCCCACAATGTGTAGAGAATAGCTGGGCCGTCGGCCCGATGCCCAGAACGGACGAATGGTTCATAAGATAAATATTACATTGTCGCAAATAACTTCAGCGTAGCATGTTATAGGCTTTCTACACGCTTTCACTTCACGTGTTTGCTTATGAAAGATATGCCAAGCCATCTCATTTCACTACATGGGTGATCGGCACAGGTTTACTATAGTGATTTTGTCCTTCCTAAGAGCAATCTATGTTGTAAGCGGATTCTAGGTTTGACCCTTCGTATCAATATAAATTCATAAGAAGGGCGAAACTCTCAATCTCTTTACACAGATTTACTCCATACTCGTAGTGATCTTCTACTTTCTGACAGCAAGCTCTCTTGTAAGCGGATTCTAGGTTTGGCCCTTCGTATGAATATAAATTGATTTTTAGGTCACGAACGGTTCACTTGTCTACTTCATAAGTATAGGTCTAGACTGTTGGCCACAAGTACACTTCCACGCATGTCATTCTCGGCCTATACGCATTCAGCTCGTCCTTTTGCCATCGACGCCCACAGTATCCATCGTTCGCCTCCCCCACCCACCATAGTGGTCTCGGGGTTATGGTGCTCAAATGCTAACCAACAGATCATGTGATCGAATTCCAGCCGCGGGAGCCGCATTTTTGATGCATGTTAAAATGCTCAAGGCCCGCGTGCACGTCCATGAAACCCAGGTGGATAAAATTTTGTGAACCCTTCAATTCAGCGTCTCTCGTAATGATATCGTAGTTTAGCGACGTTAAACGCCATCAATTGTTATTATTACTCTCGTCCCCCCCTCTCCCTCACCAATTTTTTCCCTACAAATGCAGAGTAGCTGGCTAGAGGTGTGTACCTCAGGCGACTTCGCTGCGTCTACTCTCATTGAAATTTACCCCCCACTACACCTGCCTTTCTCTCGCGTATATACCCCGAAAACGAACACTGGCGTCGCTGCGGTCGCGGTGATATGACGTGACGGCACGGACTCACCTGCTCCGCCGACGCTTGTCGCCTCTTTCTGCTCCTTCCGTGTACACGCTCTTTAGCAATACGTCGGTTATTATTCCTCAATTCCGTTACGCGAATTTCTCAACATACAAGGTGCAAGGTTTCACAACTAGTGAAAGTTTTTTTAAGTTTCCAGAAGTTTCCAAAATTTAGCTTAGGACAGGCTGGCTGTGGTCCGAACGGAAGGTTTATTGTGAACATGATAATGTAAGACAAGACGTTCGTTGTTTTTATCGCATACACCAGAGAACGGGTGCTAAAAAATGTGCTAAGTGCTACTAACCTCATTACAGCTAGGCATAGACTCGGAGAGAGCAAGTCTGTGCCGAAGTATGAAAAATAAATTTGGGACGTTTTCAATGCACTAAGTACATTGCGCTTTACCGTTAAAGTTACGCCTTGCTGTATCTGCGAATGATCTAAGTGATTTGATAGAACTGCGTTTTCTCCCGCAAGAGACATTACATAAATATGACTGCCTTAAGCATTCACGTAACATATTAGTCTAACAAACAAAATAACACTGCCGCACACAAAACTATTTCCAAAAATATGAGAGTTTTCCCTTCACTGGGATCATATGTACAGGTTTATTCCTAACAGTCACCAGGGATTATGCAGTTGTATACCTTAATATGCGTGAAATGCTGGAGTGTTCTGCCGCCACTTCACAAACGCTAATGGGACCTTAACGTGGGTGCACCGCTGAGAGCAACGACTTCACTACAAACTTCAGAAAGTCAAAATGCACTCTTTCTATGTAGTGATCAGGGGATGGCTCGCTGGGCCTGTCCCCTACTCCCCAACACTTTTCTCTATGCTGAGAGAAAAACTACCATTTCAAGTAGGTGCCCTCCCCCCCGAAAAAATTGCTACTCATAGGCTTCGGGACCCGTGTGATAACTAAACAACCTTCGCCTCGATGAGGCGACGACTGGTCTCTCTTATCATGTCCACCAAGAGGTAATGAACTGCAAGAAAGTTTAACATACGAGGCGGCTATCTGAACTTGTAGTTTAGAGCGCGACCACACCGCTGCTGCGATTCTGCACGAAGACAAAATCTGATCGCAATAGGAATTTCAGCACCTAACCTCCACCAAGCTTAACCTGAATAATTTCAGTCAATTAAAGCTTTAAAGTTACTCTGAGAGAAGCATAAAACTTAATTACGTGTTGAGTGAACAAGTACCTGAGAAAAACACACAACAGCGGCGGTGGTTTTCTAGGGCGAGCGCCTTCCGCTATACGTTGCGATACTCGATGCTGCACCCGAGTGTGGGGCTCGATACACTTCTGAAAGCGCTGTCCGTAGATACATAGATTCGTGTGGTACAAATTATTCCAGGGGAGGAGAAGCCCATATATCCCCGAAAGAAATCATCTACGCACATTTCAACCCTATGATGTATATATGGTGTCTTGATTCCCTCTCGAAATTGCATGGTTAGGCGTCACTGAGTTTGTTGTATCCAAACAGAAGCGTGTTTTTCATTTTCACAGCCATCGAAATGCGGTTGTTTTCGCCACGAATGGAATCCATCACCGGGGTTAGCATTGCGACACAGACCTTTTCACTCATCTCACATGGCTATACAACCCAGCACGTGAATGTACAGCAGCAAAAGTAAGATTTTCAATGTTTTACCTGAAACATTACTAAATCTGTTTTATTCATTCATCTGCAGCTTGAGACAGGCAAAAAAGCGAACGAAAACATTGGAACAGCACACGAAGCGCGTGCATCATCATGTTGGCGCGCTGCGGCTCGCATAGAAGAGTCCGTGCCGTGACGTCATCCGCCAGGCAGCGCCACTCCAACTTATCGGGGTTAATACCATGTGTACGTACAAGATGCGTCTCCACTTTGGGGGTGAAGTTCCCTATACCGCGAGTCGGGCGTCCCCGACGTATATAATAGTAGTAGTAGGTAGCCATCTTTAGCCAAGTCCGCCTTGCAAGTTTTGAAGTCATGCGGACCCCTACAGCGTTTGCATCGCAGCTCTCCTTTGCAGAATTTCGCCACGTGACCAATACGTTGGCATTTAAAGCACCTCGGTGTTGGCTCCGTGTATTCAGTGGTTTCATGTCGAGTGAAGCCAAGGTTAATAGTCAGAGGTCGCTCGGTGTTTGGAGTAGACGCAAGTACCACCAGGAAACAAATTGCGCCTCTGACCTTTTATTTTGAACGTGTGGCATCCCGTGCGGGCACATTTGCGTGACACGTGTGAAACAGACAGAAACGCTGGAACATTGGTAACAAAGCGATGTGCACGTCGTGTGGGACCTGTTATACGGCGATATTCACGGAACCGGGACTTAAGCAACAAGCACAGGGCAAGAAAAAAAAAATCACAGGCCTCGCTTATGCAATTACGTTAGACGAATTGAAGCGCAAGCTATCGTTTTCACTCTTTCCAATTCTTTCCCCTTAGACAATGTATTCATCCCCTAGCCCTCCTGAAGGCTTTTGTACATAACGCTGTTTTGCTCTGCCTCAAAGATCGGAGGCATTTAAAGGTTTCTTCACCTGATGTGGTTTCGCACAGCTTCTGTGATCGGCTTACCTTTGGCCAAGTGACAATGTCATGTGATCACGTCATCATGGGAACTATCATGGTGATCATAGGGTTTCATATTGTATTACCCAGAGGGTAATCTGGCACTAGTGCCTGTGCGGGCTCTTTCAACGGCACTTCTATTCCCATGGGAATGATGGCAAGTACAGGCTTCGGATCTCCATCGAATAGATTACGTTGTTGATATTCGCGACGCCTATTTGTTGAGTGTAAAACAAAGTGATACAATATTATTTCTAAAAAAAGCTTGCTTTGTTTTTTTTACATAAAGCTTATTGCAAAAAGTTTTTCAGCGACCGCGAGATGGAAGTGAAACCTTGAGCAATTCAACCACCAGGGTACCCAATGCTCTCCTATGGTGTCCCAGGTTTGGAATCAGGATACTATGTAAATCATTATATTGTGATGCCAAACCTGAAAACAAGCACGCTTGGTTTGCCCTTGAAAGTATGCATTATTTGCATATGATAATAACCGTACTATATTCGGGTGCAAACACTTAACGTATCGTCTGCTGCGGTGTCACGTATGTCTGTCCGAATAGTCTGGCTCCAACACATCGGTCGTTTTGTTGTGGACATGCATCAGAGGAGCGTGACGGTGCGCTTGCTTAGCTTCGAAGTTGTTTTGCAGCCGATTTTAAAAATTTTTCAGCAAGACTAGCTTATAAGAAGACGGTAACTATAAAATATCCTCCACTTGCATGGGGTACTACATCGACGCGCAGTGGTTAGTGCACGATGGTTCACTAAAACTGTCAGATAAAACTTGCGAAGCTGCACCGTCGCAGCAAACCAAGAGATCTAGCTGTCTTTAACCTCGTTGAACAACGAAGTAAGCATTTGTATGGTTTGCATCACACCTCATTACTACAGCTGAGATAAAAACAAAACTGAAGCTATTAAAAAGAAGATCCGTAGAAAAATCGCTACCTGATACCATCAAATTGTATTCCTGCACTTCCCATCATTCCGAGGAGATAAAATGACCACGGCGACAGTTTCCTTTCGAGGTTATTGTACGAACATTCTATGTTGGTGATCTGTGGTGTCATCATGACATCATAAGATGAAGTAATCACGTGGTGATTATTGTTTTTTCATCACTCGTGCTGAAACCACCACCATCAATGGTCTGATTTTGCGCTTGATAAGGACTAGCTGGCTTTACAGGAAGCACCGCGCCAACGAGCAACGTCGACAAAAAATACACAAGTATTATAATCATGTCTGCTAACCTCCTCCGAGAAAAGAAATGCCTGCAGATACCTTCCCATAGACTTGGCTGAAATTCACAGGCTTTCACACCGCAGTGGCGACTACCTTGGAAAGATAAGTAAACCACCACTGCAGTGTGCTGACGTCAGAGCTCTATTTGCTGTATGTATACTTGCATATTTTTTTTTTTTTGGAAGAGGCACATATGGCTGCTACATCGATCGCTGAACTCAGGTTACGAGTAAAAAGACGCATTTTAAAGCGTCTTTGCTGGGGATTCCATTCAGGGAAGTTGTGGCAAGACCGCTCCCGCTGCGCAAGTCTCAGCTTCGGCAAAGAAGCGCGATACTTCAAACTGCAGCCTGGGCTGGCGCACGGAAGTGCCTCGATGCGACTGAATTCAATTACGAAATACCCTCGTCGTTCTTGTGATAATGCGAATGTCTTCAGAGGCAAAATTTTCTGGAAAGAGGATTTCGCCGTTCCCGAACCCATAAATGGGACCACATGATTGTGTGCAAGTATAGGCGCTCGAAAAGGGAGCGGTTGGAAGAGATGACGTCAAAGAATTTAAGTAAGCTATCTCCATCGCTAGTCTTATCACACTACCTACAACGAAATCCTTCAGGTTTTACAATTTTTTGCTCCCTTTTCTGCGAGTCTAGCTTGCGACTCCTCCTGCCATCGGTAGTGTTCAGTATCGACACTTTCTTGAGTCATGTGGGCTGAGTAGGTTGTCGAATGCTTACGGCTGCCTACAGATTCGTGACACAAATCGCGAACTGCACGATGAGCAACGACAAGGTGATAAAAGCAACTTCTCTTCCACTTTCCATCCTTCTGACTCTCTGCGATGAACCCTGCAAGCTAGACTCCGCCATTTGAACAGTACAAGCCTAGCGGAGCAAAATATTATGAGGCATCTACTGAAGCATGCGTGCTTGCAAATGGCCATTAGAGCTTATGAGCTTCCTGAAGGCAACCGGACTGTACGGATGATTGTAACTCTTTGCGAACGTGGTTTAACGATGGCGTTCCCAATGACAAACTGATTAGTATTATTAGTGGCAATTCTTTAACCATACACTGCGGTGGTACACTATAGTCATGGTTCTCGGCTGCTTATACGAAAGTCGTGTGTACGATGCCGGCCGCGGTGATCGCATTTCAATAGGGGAAATGGTAAAGGCCCGTCAGTGCGTGTTGAAGAACATATAGTTTAAATTTCTTAAGTTTAGCGCTGCGGCGTGCATTATATTTGTATCGTGGTTTGGAACGTAATAACGAACGAATTATCATTTTTCTACCCATTCATTGTTTATTCTCTTTTTCCAAGCGCATGGCTGCCAAGCAGGCATGTTGAATGTTTAACATGTACACCAGCATCTACATCATAAGTTTTCGCTGTGTATCTCAGAGTGCACTTTCTAACATCAGTCAACCCACTGCAACACGACAAACGGCAACCGCGTATTTCTGAATAACTTTTCTGGGATGAATTTATAATAATGTAAAGCTTGCCCAGCTAATAAGTTTGAATAATCAATGATTCTTATTTTGTATACCAATGGCTTGCTAATGGTACTGTTGAAGATTACTGCAGAACCGCACCCCAAAGACAAATCGCTTCAAAATTCCCTACCTCTGATCAGCTCTGTAACCACATTAAACTAATGTATGCGTTTTCATGCATGACATTGAATGCTGCCCTCTAACTTTTGTTTTACGCCAAATGAGTCACAGAACTTCAGATAGCTATTATTGGTGCTTGTGAAGTAGTTTACGTGCAGTTTTATGGGATATAAATGACTTTGAGTCCCACATAAAGTGCCGGTATTTTTCCTTTCTGAACTGGTTTGGTGTGCTCGCTACAATGTGTATTTTTTTTGCCTTCTAACATATCCTTTTAAAGTGGTACGTGTTTCTCTTTATTTTTTTCCTCTAAATGTACCCTCCCGCCCCTATCTTTGGTATCTATTGATTGTTTCTCTGAACAGCGCAGAAAAAGTTTTCTTTCAGAAGGATTTCCAAAATAAGCACCCGCTAAAGGTTGCTTTCAAGAGAAACTCGATAAACACCAAATCGGTCGTTTCCCAGGGTTACTGCGTTAAGTTTTACTTCACAAAAGCAGACGTAGACTTTTTTTAATAAAAAGGGGGTTAGTTACCCCGCCAATAAACAGTCGCTCGGTGTATGCAGGCATCACAGCTGCTGGAGTCAATACCCTGATTTGTTTATTTGTTACCTTTACTCCCTTTGGCTTTAACTTTCCTGTATTTTAGCATCTAAAACACGCATTTTTTTCTGTTGTCGCGGCTTTTCATCTTATGCTGACTTCACATCACTATAAATAAGAGAAGCCTAGAAGCCAGAAATTGGGCTTCTCGATTTCTCAATACTCTCATCGTGTGTGTGTGTGTGTGTGTGTGTGTGTGTGTGTGTGTGTGTGTGTGTGTGTGTGTGTGCGTGTGTGTGTGCGCGCGCGTGTGTGTGTGTGCGCGCGTGTGTGTGTGCGTGCGTGTGTGTGTGTGTGTGTGTGTGTGTGTGCATGCGTGCGTGTGTGCGTGCGAGATAGATTGATTCGCCTGGTGACAAGCAGCCCTTTGAATCTCAAAACTTTGCGAGTTCAGTTCCAGCTCTCCTATTTCTTCAATTTCTTGCTCATGAGCAATTTCTTGCTCATATGAGCGCAATTCACATTGCCATTTTACTCAATAGTGAACAGACTGCATTCTCTCATTACTATGCGACGTAAGCATTCGTGAACAAATGCTCGTTACGTGGCTCCTAAATAGAACAGGACGTATGACACCCATGAGAAATCCTAAGACGGTACGCACCTGAATGCTTTATGGAGCACGCTAAAGATGGGCTGCCGCCGTCTGCCGGTCGACTCGTGGTCCACAAGGCCATGGTAGCCGAAGAGGAAGCCACTGCAAGGGTAGAATAACGAACTTAGCCGGGTCCTAGGCAAGGCGCACTTAGAACACCAGCGTCGATGCTTCACACTTGCAGACACTCGTGTTGTGCATCAAATGCAAATAATCACATCAATTCGTTTTATTGCGACAGTAATTATTAAGGTCATCCACTGCGGGTTTTCAATGACGCCGTCGCCGTCATGGTCTGTATAAAGCCTAATTTGATAACATTGTTCTTCCCAAACCGTGATCCATGCACGAGAACAAGCGCGTGAGCGTTGGCGATAAACGCGGCTGAAGCAGAGATGAAATGAGCTGGTCATCTCCATCTTACGGGGGGCGAATAACACCTACCCGCGTGCGAGGCTTCACTCAGGGAGCATTTTCACTCGGCTCCTCAAGCAGAAAGAAAACGCCCCACTCGTCGCTCCTTGGGCGAACGTGGATAAATGCAAGGGGAGGAGGTTGGCATATATGTCTTGCATGCGTAATCATGCAAACCACAATAAAAGTTTGCAGCGGGGTAACTCAGAGCACACTCTTGCCATACAAATTATTCCAAGTTGAGCTGTGTAGAAACAAGACTTCCAACTTTTCGAAACAAATATACCCACTTGCTGCAGTCGCTAAATAGTTAATAGTCCAATGCTAGTAAATTGAGTGGCTGACAATAATATTTATTGCGTCATACTGCTTTGTGTCCTCATTGATACATAGCTTATAACAAAGGTGCTCTCACGTGCCTACCAGTGATGACATTTGAGAGAACCTTGTAGCTTAATTTTGAATACCCGGTATACTAGTTGATAGCAATAACTGTGTTCTCTTACCATGATTTCGCAGCCTTCATGAGAACTGCTAGCATTATTATTATTCAATAAATCTGAAGTGATGAACACATATATGTATATATTGGGCCTCACCTAAGTGATATGATAATAATGCTTTGGGTCGTACGTGCCCAAACAACGACATAGTTAAGAGACGTGCTTTTGTGAGGACTTCTGAAATTTCAACGAGCTGGTGTTCTTTAACGTGAACGGACATCGCACAGCACAGAGGTCTCATTTCACCTCCAGCAAAATGCGACCGGAAAAACAGGGATCGAGCCTCCGACTTCATTTCAGAAGCCATGCATCACAACCACTGTACTTTGGGGCCAGACATACTTCAGCAACTTTTTAGCCAAGTCGTTATACGTGAAACAAGAAAAATAGCGCAAAATACCAGCTGTTCCCGTTCACCTAAATACGGCACGTGAGCTTCCCGGCGTACGAGAGGGGAATGGCTGTCCTTTCTGCCAGGCGCTGCATCCTGGTTGGTGGCCGCCCGTCGACAGAGACGTTACAAGTAGTTGCCGGGTGGAGATACAACTGCTCGCATCCGGGACACGGGAGACAGGGACGCCCTTGTTGCGCCACAGACAAACGCGCCTCTCATTTCCGCTCTCTGTGTCTTGCTCGCCCACGCGGCTGTCCTAGCTGTCAGAGTTGCTATAGGAAGTGAGCACGTTGTGAAAGAATAGATGCACGCACGACTCCGGTGCGCGTTTCTCCAACGTATACACGCAGACGCACACACACATACAAAATAAACCCACGTTGGTCAGTGTTGAATGAACCCAGCACCACGGACTCGCATCGGCACATTCTCGTCAGAATTTGGCCCATGCACAGGACACAGCAGCATCCTGATTACTGGGGAAGGTACTTTGTTTTCACCAGAACTCATTACAACTCTTTGCGGAGGAAATGAGTTGCGCCAGTATTCCATCCGCAAAGCCGGCAGGGAGAAATCGTCCAGAAAAGAACAGCAGTGGCCGTGAGAGAACGTCATGCACTGTACGATGTGATGCTTAAGGTAAAAACACGTTGTATATGAGTTTGACGAAAAACACGACTTTTAGCCGCGGTGGTAAACCTTGTAGAGCCCGAACCTTTTTAACGCACAGCTTTCTCGTGTATTCTGCGTGTTCTCAAATATGTTCCACTGTTCTTCGATATGTTTCATTTTAAGTTCTCCGTGTTTGGCGTAAAATAAACGGGCAAGCACACTCGTGCATTCAAGCACACTCTGATTCAAAATGTGGCGCACGTGGCGATCACCTCAAACAGCATCATCCTCCAATCTTTCCTCGAAGTGCGTTCGCCCGACTGAAGGTATAGCACAACGTGACTTTTTTCGTAGTCCAAATTAACACGAGTACAAAGAGGGATGAACAAAGCAACAGCACCCATTTTATTTCCTAAGTTTTAGTCCTCTTTTTGCTTATAGCACTGAAAGAGAGTGATAAATGTTAAGTGAACGGCAGAGAAGTCAACCATATGAAAAGTTTCCGGTTTGCTACATTGCACTCGAGATGCTAGAAAGCCATGTGCATACGCCAAAATACGACAAAAATGTGGCGCTGCGAGCCCGCGGCACTGTGTATATTCAACAATGACCAACGCTTTCACGTTATGCTTTCGCAACACGACCAAATTTCTACGCTTATGAGACTCAAGATACACTTTTGACTGGGATGTAATGCAAGGACGCTTGAATAATATCAAGCTATTCGTTAGGGCCTTACCTACGAAAAGCACGATATAATTATAATGAATGCCGTTGAGGAGGGTTCCGGTGATTTTGACAATCTATAATGTTTTCGAACGTGACTCCAAATCTAGACGCGCGGAGCTCCAGCATTCTGCCTGCATCCTATATGCGGCCGCCGTGGCTGGGATCCGACCCGCAACCTTCCAGCCAGCAGCCGAGCACCGGGATCACTTGACTGGCTTGTCAGGTATGAACACTTGCAGCAACGCATGAAAGCATATAGATGGAGAGGGGGGCATAAACTTTTAAGAAAACTAGCCGTTCAGTTGGATGGCCCTTGGCCTCCCCCGCGAAGCCATGGAGGTCTTGCCTTTTGCGGTGTAGCTGGATATCCCATAGATGGTCCGCAAGAAATATTTCTTCCCTTTCAATGAAATTGTTCCCAGAAACTTTAATGCTTTGATTGGCAATCGGCAACAATCCAATTCACATTCAAGAACGGCAGGCAAGACCTCTAAAAGCGTTTGAAATGGTGACCGTTGAGAATTAACTATACGTTCCCGGTCACGCCGTTTTAAACTTGCAGCACGTCTTTCACTAAGCGTTCGCGAAAACAAGAGCCCGCGTTCAACTAGGTGGAGCAGTGGCTATGGCGCTTGGCTGCTATACGGAAGGTTGCGCGTTCGATATCGGCGGTGGCGGTCGCGTTTTTATTGAGGCGAAATGCTGCAGGCCCGTGTTGCCATGTTTTTTCCTAATGATTTCATAGTTCTTGTTATACAAGTAATGCAACTGGCAATACACAAATCATAAAAGCTCACTTTTCACCATAAAGTAGCTTCTGTGTGTTTGGAGAGCCAGGCAAATGACCAAAGCTCCACTCGCTCACACTTTCTGCATAACAGGTTTAACGTGCTGATACCATACATAGTATGGCGAGTTGTGATGTGACAAAGGTCGTTGTAAAAACACAGATGCTTAAAAAAATCTGAATGAAAACTGAGAAGTGTCACACATATGCATTCTCTTCAATAGTCTGGTTTCGTATTTAATGCATTGTCTCCACATCGTTAACCCGAACACTTCGTTTAGCACGCACTCTACGATATTGAAATCGAGGCCACTGCATGAAGGGTTGCTATTGATGGCTACATTCCGCCAAATTGGCTACTTTCGCGCCTTTTTGGTGACTAAAATTTTCAGTTGGTGCCATGACTACTTTCTGTCTACTTTTAAACTTCCGGTTAGGCTCAATAGCAACCATTTTTTTGTTTGTTGGAAAAAAAGGGCATTCTTTTTAAGCTTTTCTGCCGGTTCAGCGGCTGCGCGCTTGCGTCGTACACCCATTAGCTGGCTGATGCGCATCCAAGCAGCCTTACGCAGCGTCCAGTGTGTTTGCAAATACGGAGTGGTGAAATCGCGTGCATGATGGCAAGTTCGTGGCCAGCACGATACTCAGGCTTCCCGAAATCTACGATGATGCTATACGCGCAAGTTTCTACGAGTTATCTTGAATCGCCCAGCCTCCTCTCGACTGATCTTGGGAAAACATGGATTCGCAACAAAACGTAGCTGGGCTGTTGATGTACCAGATTTCATTATCTGAAGTTTGGCTTATAATACATATCAACTCTAATATTAAATTTGGTTCGACATTTTCATGGACGACATCTGTTTGAGCATTCAGTGTTTCTTGATTTTTGGATAAAGTATTATAATATAATTGGCTGGAAGGACCACTTATCGGTGGCTTTCTGATGTTTTACTTATTGAAAATGATATTATTTATCAATCAATACTAAAGACTCTACTCGTAATACCAGTTTTGTTCTCTTTAGTCACAATTAGGCAATATTATCTAATAACATGCCTATATTGGCTCTCTTCAGCTATATTGGCTATATTGGCTCTCCTGTTCAAGTCGAAATGGCTTGAATATATATATATATATATATATATATATATATATATATATATATATATATATATATATATATATATAGGTGTGTGTGTGTGTGTGTGTGTGTGTGTGTGTGTGTGTGTGTTGTGTGAACACACAAACAGAGCGTTCAGTATCCAGAGGCGCGTGCTCAACCGCTCTGGATAAGTGTAATTCAGACCACACAGTACTCAGAAAATTCTGAGATCCGCCTTTTCATTCTAGAATCAGTATAACGAAACGTTCAGAATGTTTTCGGGGAATAAATGAGCGCGGCGGGGAGACAAACAAAACACGTATTTTCGTTGGTGTACATACATTGGGCTGAAGATGACTTTACACTTGCGAACACATGACCTAGAATTTTATTGACACCCCACACTCAGATTATAGTGCGTACAGTGTGCATGGCATCGAGGAAAAAGCCACGAGTTTCGCAATATGATTTAGCCTTACTGTGCGCTCGGCGATGCCACGTTGCTATGCATTCTCTGCTTTTTTTTTTTCGCATGCGCGCGGGCATGGACTCACTTGAGAAAGATTAATGTGTCCGTGGCCAGGGTCGAGTTGATGACCATCTGAAAGGAGAAGTCCTTGGCAAAGCCCACGGCGATCATCAGATTTCCTGCGGGGCAGACGAAGAAAAGGGATGAGACCCGGGCAGGCGGGAGTACGATAAATAAGCCACGCCTGGGCAGCGCCAACACACACAGTGACTTCGTATTTCGGACTAGGAATATGGCGGATATGGAAGAGACTCCGATTCTCTTATTTTCTTTCTGTTATCATCTCCGCTTCGGGGATAATATTGCGCTAAAGAGAAGAGAGAGAAACAAAAAAAATAAGAACACGTGTCCATGCAGGCAATGTCAAAGTTGCAGATTTCGTATACTGTAATGAAAGGGTAATACGTTCCTTTCACGTCGTCTTATGTTTCCTCTCTCTCTTTCTACCACGTTTTAGTTATTCGACCACCTTACGCTTCATATCACTGGTTTTGTTTTTCTACTGTTCTCGACTTCGGCATCAGTTCTCACGTAAAGATTGCTGTAGCAGAAATCGCGTAAAAAGACGTGACACCATGGCCCGTATTACCGAAAGCGTCTGACGCTAAACATTTCCCTGAGAGAATATTACAACTAATCACTATTAGGGACACATTAGTGGAGCTGACTTGCCAATACGAAAACGTGCTTACAAAAGAGAAGTTTTGTGAATTTGACCGCCCCTACAGGAGGTCTGTAAATTCGCCCCAGGGGCTGAATTCACAAAGCTTCCGTATGGGTTTCACACACTCTCTAGTAATGTGCCCTGCACAAGGATTGACTGAAATTTTATTTTAGAGACAATTCAAGCCTTTTTCTGAAAATGGGTCGTAATTACTCGACCACTGTATTCAGACTACAACGTATTATGTATACCGTGCAACGGCCTCTCCTAGCCTTTGCCCTATTATAACCCCACAAGTAACTTGTTCACTGCACGACACCTATTTCTGCGGCAGCGCTGTCGTCGCTCCAGAGGTCGTGTACGCACTAGCGAGCCTTTCGCAATGACAGGAAGCGCCTGAGTATAGCTACTAAACATGCACAGTATGCATATGAGCCGAAAATGACAGGCAGCGCCAGGCTAAAGCCTGATGTGGCGTAGCGTTTCGCATAGGGCAGTGTTCGTGTCAGAATACAGTTTGGCAGAACTGTTTCCATATATCCCTCCTGCCTTTACCCTTTCATTGCTTTCATTCACTGTGCACAACCTTTTCCAATCCACGTCCTAGTTATCACTCGGCTTGGCCTTCATAGAGGGGTGACATCGCCTCCGCGGTGCCGCGCTTTCCTTAGGCCACGTACCCTTTCGGCAGCGACGCGTTCTATGGCAGTGTCTCGCCACCATGCTCTCGCGTGTATGGCGCATATATTTTGCCGCGCGCCACAACAGCAGCCGTCCTTTTATGAGTGAGCGTGTCCTTTTTTCGGCTACTGCGCCACTAACCCCTCGGAGTCGAAAGGCCATTTTTCTTCCTCGCCGTCGCATATTCGAGCAGCGGGCGAATACCACGGAAGACGCAGGCCGTACACGAGCAAAAGGAAAAGTGATTATCATTCCGCCCGGCTCATGCGTCTCGCTTCTTTCGGCGACCAAGGCTGATTGATTCTGGCCGGGGTCAAGGCGTCGGCGTCTCGGCCCTGGTGATACCCATCCGATATGCCACCACCACCGCCACCGGGAAACGTAAATACGAGGCGTGGAGTGTGTGTCCGCCACGCCGATTTCCGTATGGATACTACTTGTTAGGTTTGGGATTGAAAGGAAAAGAAAAAATAACAACGAAGAAGTGTAGATTGTCTTGACGCTCACTGTACTCTTCTCAGTGTCGCACACTTAGCCTAACCCCTTGAGGCTTCTCAGGCCCTCGTTGGCTATGCGAGGAAGCTGGGATAAAGAAAGAAAGAAAGAAAGAAAGAAAGAAAGAAATAAAGAAAGAAAGAAAGAAAGAAAGAAAGAAAAAAGAAAGAGAGCATGAAGGGCGAGAAGAAAATACTGGTCCTCTCGACAGCGACTAACTCTCCAACAACGTCTCTGGAAACGCGGAGAGATGTTTGCAGAAGAGGGTTCCCTCTTACTCGGCTCGGGCATACGCCTTTGGGGGCTCATAGTATTTCCGCGTTAGCGCTACTCTTCGTTGAGGCCTTATCGCTGCGTTGTTAAGATCTCTCTCTGCCGCAAGATCCCGGCCCCACTGAAGTGCACTTTTCATCTGGCTGTTTCGCTTTGTTTCCCGAAGGAGATTGTCGATTTTAAGCACGAAGCTCCTTAAGTTCTAGGGCAGTTCGTCCCTCTAGTGTAGCCAGCACAGCATATCGACTGACTGACTGACTGACTGAGTAACTAACTAACTAACTGACTAACTAACTAACTAAATAATTAACTAACTGTGTATGTCTGTCTGTCTGTCTGTCTGACTGACTGACTGACTGACTGACTGACTGACTGACTGACTGACTGACTGACTGACTGACTGACTGACTGATGGACGGACAGATGAAAGGACGGATAAATGCAAGGACGCTTCACCTCACGCATCATTATTCACTCCATGGATACGCTGTGATATTTTACTTTGTTTAAATTTTCTTATTTTTATGAGAGGATATCATGATAGTATTACGCTTCATGAAATGCGCCAAGTGGCACGTACTGCTCCAAGATGATTTAGCTTACTTGCCTTTCCCACAAACATGAATGAAGCATACTGAATTTAAATCTGAACTCGCGCCTTTCGATGTTTGCTTTCTTCAAGTATAAAGTTGGGAGTGGGGCAAGCAAGGACAGCGAGTAACATACGAATGTATTAATTATTTTAATTATAATAACAATTATTTTTTTAGGCTCTCTAAAAAGTGGCGTGGTGTTGCTCTGGAAAATTGAAAATGCCAATGTTTAACGATATAGCTTTAACTACAGAAAGGCAAAGAGGTCTGCCCCAGCGATAGTATGACCTCGCTTGCTACTCCAAACTGCTGGAGGGGAAATGGAAAGGAAAAGAATAACGAATGACGATGGTAAATTTGGGAGGTGAGTATGTACAGTCCTGAGCATCCAGTCTAGTGGCTTGTCGAAAAGTTGTGCCCCCTCTTACGAACATCGTTGCACTGTTGGCATCAGGCCAAGGGCCCAACAAAATATCGCGCATTATTGGCTTATTGTGCAATCATTCAGTAGAGGAAATCGAGTGCTGCAGTTGACGTGTGAACGCTGGGCAGGTATAAAAAAGGTGCTGAAGTGCTTCTGGCAATTGAAAATGATTACAATTGGGACCGGTGTCACTACAGCTAATGATATCTGCATAACTTTTTGTGAAATCCACAGCCACACCCAGACGAATGCGCCGAATAAAACTTGCGCTCTTTAGCTTTACTTTACCAGGCATGCGGAACCTCATTTCCTGGTCCCATTTGCGCAATCGCCGGTGTAGTCACTCCGATTTGGCCCAATGCCCAAGCGTGAAGCGGCGCATTACACCACGAAGCAGGGCGTTCGTGTATGGCCGTGAAATTGCAATGCGCACCTTTTTATTTGAAATAAAGCTAACACTAAACAACTGCAGATTACATAGCATCAGATGAGATATCGAATCGGTGCACGTTCCCGTGTAGAGTCTGATACAGCCCATCTCATTCACGAAAGACTCGTAAATTGGTCGGCGTAGGCGCGACTTTCCGAACCGGATTTGGGAAGCCCATTGACAACCCTTGAGCAAGCCTGATGAGTCGTAATAGCTAGCGGGGCCCTGAATGATCAGCTCCACTCATGGTAAACAAGAATCCCTAATTTATTAAAACTGTTTCTCCTCTCTCTCTGTCTCTCTCTCTCTCTCTCTCGAGAATCTACTCGAACACCGATTCCGTACTTCTAGTCACACGTATTAATTCCGTGCCGTGCAGCTGCCCGGACTGATGGCACAATGAATTCCGGGACCATATAATCAGCAATGAAATCGAATAACATCATTAATGTCTTGCAAGGAGCGCAGGATAGACTGGTGGACTATAGTTAGTAGTTCATAATTCAGAACGGTGGCTCGAAAAAGCATGCGGGTGGCGACAAATCAAGATGGTACACAGCATTAGTTCCATCATGGTCTGGCACCGTCCATGTGCTTCTTTGCACAACTGTTCTGTATTAGGAGCGCCGGGGCATGTTAAAGGCCTGGTCTGACAGGCGCATCATGGGTTGGCTGGACGGCCCATTTTCGGTCGGCTAGGCTGGAGTTAGGCCACTTTGGCCCGCATTCCACTTTGCCAAGCTGCCATCGGGGTTAGCCTGGCATGTATTTTCAAGCTTTGGCACGTGCGTGTGCACTCACGGAAGAACTGGTAATTGACGAAAAGGAAGATGTGGCCCAACATGAACCAGAGCAGTGTTAGGGAGCGAAGTCCGTGCAGGGCGCTCAGCGGGCCAAGGCTTGTCTCGGGCCGGAAGACGCTGCGCAGGCTACGCACCATGGAGAAGGACGTCGTGAAGCGAGACAGCAGAGCTGCGAGTGGTATAGAATAAAAAAGAACACATTAAGCGAGTTACGCGGAAATTGAAGGTCCCACTTACTTCGTAAATAGTGACTATCTGGTGTTATTTCTGCCGGTATAGATCTACCGATCAATTTACCCGCTCTCTTGCGCTGCCCAGCACTGTGAGTTGAATGCCACAAAACAGCACTGCCAATTTGCACGTTCGACAAAGCACTACTACTACCATCACCGCAACAACAATCAATAATAATAATAATAATAATAATAATAATAATAATAATAATAATAATAATAATAGTAATAATAATAATAATATAGCTCCATGGTATGCTATGCAACTTAGGGCATGTTTGTTACCTGAAAATACTTTTTTCATTTTCTTTTTTTCCAATCCGAGCACCCTGACACGATCCTCGTTTTCTATATACTGTAGAATGGAGTTCTTGTTTTATATATTTCACAAAAGCACTAAACAATAGTAAGTTGCTTTTTTATTTGTGTGTTTTTGTTTCAGTTTGTGTGTCATCCCGCACGCTGGCGGTACCGTAACGACAGAGGGCAGAAATGTCAAGCGCATTTAATAATAAACTGCGCACGCTTGTCTATGCCGGTGTTGAAACAGAATCGCCTATATGCGGACATCGTACAATGGACGCTGTTATGAGATCATAACAATGGCCGATTTTGGCGGTGTTGTAGTCTCCTGCCGTCAGGCCACCGCCAGGGCCTGAAGCTGGATTTGAACTCTGGCCCTCTGCATGGCGGTCGAGTATTCTACCACAGAAGTCCTAAGCATCATGTCCGGCACAAACTTTCGTTATCAGATGTAATATGGTGTGGGAGAAAAGTAAAATAACACAATGACACACAACGCAAATTGCGTAAGAAGTAAACGATTCAAAGCTACCCCCCATCCTCCATAACAAAGCCATAATTCTTCATCGTCATCCACTACGGCATCAAAAGAGTGAGCGCAATGCCTTAGGGCCAAACAACAAAACGTTCCTTTCCTCAGTAAGGAAGCCTTCATTTTGGTAAGGCCACCTTATGTCACTCTGAAAGTTTCCTCACTGAGGAGCCCTCGGTGAAAACTTTTCTGGCGCATTCTCAGCTTAAGGTTGCTTTGGGGCTAGCTTCGTACGTCCTTGGGTCCGCTCGTGGCCCTGAACGAGAGATTAACCTCGCGGCAAGCTCACGTGATGAGCTAGCCTAACGTAAGGTGAAGATCCGGTCGAAGGGAAGGGCCGTTTCGTTGTTTTACCCTAAAAAGAAAGCGTTCCAATTTTGCTAGACCGCACCAAATTTTGCGCTCGACTACTGCGGCATTTCACATTTAGCAATCGCAGTTGGAAAAAAGCGTATACGTGTCTCTATATTAACGCTTAAATCTGGAAGTGATGGGGTGACCCACCTTTTTTTTTTTTTTACAAAATAAACATTTCTGACCAAAGCTTATAATCGATAATCTTGAACGCACCCGTGTGCTCAGATTTGGGCGCACGTTAAAGAACCCCAGGTGGTCAAAATTTCCGGAGCCCTCCACTACGGCGACTCTCATAATCATATAGTGGTTTTGGGACGTTAAACCTCACAAATCAATCATCAATCTTGAACGCAGAAGCGGGGCAACCATTCCTCACGCGAGGATGGGTGAAGGGAGCTTTCAGAGTATACACTAGCTTTGTCCATCGGTATTTGGCTGTAAGGAGGCCTCATGTGAGGTGAGGACGCGGTCGAAAGAAAGGAACGTTTCGTTATTTGGACCTTGGAGAAGCGCACCGGGTAACTCGCTTTTCAGCAGGTAGATGAATATTGCCATAGTTGGCATTTTTCCACTTAGTAAAATTATGACAATTTATGACGCACTAAGTGTCTGGCCGCTGTACCTGTAGTAGTCGACTTAAGGGAGTTCACAACGAGCTCTTGAAAGGCCGCTTTTCCAGCTTTCGCTGTGACTATGCTACAAGTTTGACGTAGACCGATTTCTTTTTGTTGTTTTTTTCTTATGTTGGCTGGTGGCTGGTCGACTAAAGTTTACTGACCACTTACGACAAAATATCCTTGTCATGACAATCTGTTCGTATATTTCATCGCTGTTGCGTCCACAGAAAAAGCTATAGCTTTAAAAAGACGCTGGCCCGGCATTTTAAGAGTGTCATCGCTCTGTTCTATTTACATTGTTGTTCTGACTGAATACAGTAGATGTCTGCTCACGTCTGCATTGAGGCTCGGTTCTGTAATTCTTGAGGTTAGTGCATTAGACAATGCACCCATAGTTGTTGCATAACCGATTTTTTCCCGGCAACATCAAGACGCAAGCCCTTCCACTCTTACCGCACCTTCGATAACGTCTCTGCTGCGACGCATTGGTGTTGTTCGCGTTTCCTTGTCCGTGATTGAGTTCCCTCGAAAACGCTTTCTTGGAAAGGCACACAACATTTTCTGAGAAAACAGCCTCTTTCTTGCGATGTGACTTAGACGTACTTCATAGGTGCAAACGTTACAGAGAAGAAATTTTTGCATCATACCCATCATTTTCTGTCTGATGCCCTTCAGGTTCATATACGTGCCTTACATGACCAGGATTGGTAAGTGGGCATCGAACGAAGTTTATTGAAACTGTAAGTATAACCTCCCTTGAGGATTGGTCAACGGGACGCCTAAGCACAGAGTTCTATTGTATAAAACAACACGGTTGCGCTCTTACGTGGGAAATTGTTGTCGGGCAGCGGCGGCACGACTTTTTCATCTACACAGTGTTTATCGCTGTACGAAGTGGTCCAACTAAATGCTCATCCAACGACTACAAAAACTAAAGCTTGGCATTAAATTTTCGCGAAGTCTGATTTATTTTCTTTTTCGATGCGTACGATTCTCCACGCGGGATTCACATCTTGCTCTAGAGGGTTTTTATTCCACCACCACATAATAGTTCAACGGAGTTTTTTTTTGTGTGTGTGTTGTACAGCCGGTTCTGCGCTTTGATATGGTTCACATATATTGACGCAGCATAAGCGCTGTTCTTCAGTCCAGTGGGTAAGAAGAACGGAGTGCGAGACCATAGGTTCGAAAGCAGACACCACGGTAAGTTTTATTTCACTCCATATATACTTCTTCATAGCAACTCGTTTTACATAACAATAGGACAACCAGAGGGACGCACCGTTTCCTCGTCAAATAGGCATGGAAGCGCTTGTGCATTTAGTGTTGCTAGACAAGGCTTCGCCCTCTGCTACTTTTTCTCCGTGCTGGGACATAAAACCTGTTTGGTTTAGCAAAGACTGTTCATTTTTACAAAACGAAAGGTAACCCCGTCTAGATTCTTTGTGTCGTATAGAGTTGAACACACGAATCACGTAGCTTTTTTCTCGTACAATGCTTCTCGTGCTTTCTCCTGTACTTTGTTTACAATGTATCGATGCACATTTCTCTCTGTATTTGTTTTTCGTACTTGACGCTTCACTTTCACCACTTTGCAGCCGTCACGGAAACCACGTGGAACGTAGAAGCCATGCTCTGTTTACTCACTGGTTTTCGTGGCTGTATTTCTCATGGTGGCTACTTCCCACGTGCCGTACATCAGCTGCCAATCCTGGACGCACGTGCCACAAGGTGGGAGTTGCTTGCCATGTCCTCTCTATAGGGCATCGTTTATTTAAGGCAATACATTAGCTCGAATGTCATCTCCCTTTCGTACAAGCATTCGCGAAGAGGCCTTTGAATCTGGGCGTGTTCGAGTTAGCGTAGCCGGAGCTTTCCCCAAATACCGTCATGTTGAAAAGTAACGTTTTGGGGTGTTTCAACTGTGGTGCGTCCGAGACACTGGCAAACACGCCTAACATAGAAAGCAGTATATCCCAACACATTCTTTTACTACACATGGCTCACAAACAAAGCGTGGTATATGTGGTCACTCATATCTTCTTTTTTTTCGTATTTCTCTTTATGTACTTTCGTTATTTCTGTTCAATTTTTTGTTGTATACTCGCCAATCACTTTCGTGTGTCAGCCGCACAGGTTCGACATTCGGCTAGACTGTGGGGTAGCAGCTAAAAATAAGGGCAGAGCCTTGCTTGTTTACGTGACCCGAGTCATGATTATCCACCACTGGCTCTTGCTCATTTTCTTCCTTCCACACTTTTCTCTTGCATTACGAGCCACTCTTTTATCGTCACGGACGACACGATGGCTACTAGAATAATAGCTGGGACAACTGCGGCCGGCCACCAGCAATAACATGCGAACTGCAGTACTCCTAAGCACATTTGGCCCTTACTGTTCATTCGTTTGCCTTTGGGAGAAACAACTTGCTTGTCTCTTGTTTCTCCTTTTATTAAGCCGCACAGTTCCAGCTGTAGGTGGTCGAAATGGCACCGACACGCGTCCCTTTTTACGTGCAGTAGGGAAGGGATAGTCTGAAATGGGTGAAGAAGTCAAAACAAACACAGAAATACAGTAAGCAGTCCTTGGTCCGATAGCTTCTGCGCTATTTTGGACACGAACCACGGTCTTTAGGTAGGCAGTCGATGCTGCCCTGTTCTACACGAATTCTATCGCGCGTCCCGGCAGCCCTCTGTCGTGTGATTCGGGTGGCACCAGCCCGGCACTGCGGGGTGTACCCGTACCTGTCGGAAGACAGCCACGCACGGCACATAGCGTCGAAGCAGCAACCCGCGTTTCACCCTTTCTCTAGCTGTGCGAGCTTCAGTCTGACGTGGGAGCGAGCCCGTTCGAGAGAGCGCGGCCACGAAATGCAATCCGGCACGCCAACCTTCGGTTCGTGGCACGCACGCCCTTTTCGTAACAATGCGCCGCGCTGTTCGTGTTTTCTCTTCGTGTTCGTGGCGGCGCATCAGGTGTGTTAAGGGCTCTCGAAAACAGCACTCACGGATTGCTCCTCCCTCCATCACTTTTTTTTTCTTTCTTGTGTTCTTGTTTCTGTTGATAGAGCAGTTTGTTGTTTTGTTGTTTTTTTGTTTTCGCCCAAGAAGAGGAGTGGGAGGGGCGT